CAGCCTGGCACCCCTCAGCACACAGGGACCTGCACGCAGCCTGGCACCCCCCAGCACACAGGGACCTGCACGCAGCCTGGCACCCCTCAGCACACAGCCTGGCACCCCCCAGCACACATGCAGCCAGAGAAAGTTTGCAGCACACACACACACCAGGCTGGCTTCATATACACAGAGCCCAGAAAGCTGCAACCGAAGTCCAGCCTCTGCCCACAGCAGCCAGCCTGTGTTTTGCTCTCCGGGAGGAATGTGGGTGCTGCGGCTCCAGGGCTCAGGGAACAATGTGGCTGGATGTGAGCAGCTCTACTTGTCAGGACTTTCCAGCCCCGTGCAGCTCAGGAGTGTCCTGCATCATGTTGTCCTACATTCCCAGAGCCGTGCACCTCACTGGCAGAGCAGTGTGATGAGGCAGCAGGATGCAGAGCTGTGTCAGGGCTGGGGGGTCAGCCGGGCCACCGTGCAGGTAGTCAGCCCCGTGCAGCAAACTTACTTTCACTACGCACCGGTGCGCCCCCTCCACTCTCTCGCACATGCAGGGGCAGGAAGTTTGGAGCCCCTGGTCGATCTGCCCCGCCGGCCCTCCCCCCAGTACACAACCCCAGGCGGAGTGACACTTACTTTTCCCTGGCCTGGCTGTCGGACGGTACGCTGTTACTCTTGCCTTTGGCGTACATGCTTGCAGAAAGCTCCGATTGTCACACACCTGTCAACCGATCACAGCCTCCCCGGGAACAACCCCGTCACCATGGCGACACCAGCAGCGCCCTCCCTGATAGGCCCGCCCGACGGCCGGTCCCGCCCGCTCGCCATGGTAACCAGTTTGACGGACAGGCTCATCCCCTCCTTCCCCTCCTCCCCCCTCTGTGGTGTTCTCCCTCCTCCTCCTCCTCAGCAGGACGGGCTCGGAGCGGCGCACACAGGCTGCTGCTGCCTCCTCCTTCTCCTTTCCTCGGAGCTGGGGGGAGGAGGGGGGATTTGAAACCGTTCTGGAAGGATTTTTAAACAACTGGCTGTTCTGTGTATTGAGCGGCCCCCCCGCCGCTGCCAGGAGAGCGCTCGCAGGAGGGGGCCGGGCGGGAG